GTGGGAGGGGGGAAGGCACAGAGCATCTTTAAGTTTGACAACTCTTTTAAGCACTTTGGCACAAGATACCCAGCAAACCTCAGTTTGGGAATATGACTTTCATGGTTACTCCCCATCTCATTACATGGTATTACAAAGATTCTACTGTTTAAAGATCTTGTTTATATAAAATTAACCATGTCAGTGGTGTCCTGTAGCACTTTGTGCACTTGTCTCTCCAACTTTGCTGCAATAGCTTGCCTATGCATGATGCAGTAAAAGAATTTCACATGTAGTTCTATCTGTAACCTTTACACCCGAGTATTTTTTTTTATTCCAGTCAAAGCAGCCACTCTATCAGCAATTACACTTGCGGAGTTTTTCCATAAAATGTCATTTCTATTAAAGAAAGAATTTACTGTTGAGAATATGTTGAGTCTTCTCTGGTACACCTTTCCTGTAGTGACTTGCAAAAAAAAAAGTAGTTCCCAGTATATTTCATCATCAAAACCATCTAGCATATACCGTAAGCTGAGACATGTTGGAAACATCTGTACTTTCAGCCAACAGTATAGTAAACTTCCCACACTGCATGATTAGTTCTAATACTTGTTTCTTCAAGTCTTTGGCTGTTTCCTACTGTCTTCCAGCAGTATGTGCTGACAAAGGAATGCTATATTGTTTTCCATTTATTATTTTAGCCATTTTTTACTGCAGCAGGAAGACCAAGTGCTTCCTCAATGGTATGTGGCTTTGTCTCTTTTGGTATTAAGTAAGAAACCTTGAAAGAGGCTTCTGAAGATTTATTATTAAGTTCAGTGATTTTTTTTTTTTTTTTTTTTTTAAAGTAGTATATTGAGTATCACATGACTTGAAACCAGTGCTGAAGAAATTGTAGAGATTTGTCCTCTTGTTCTGGGTGCTTCATTTTTAAATGTCTGCTAATTGTGGTGGCTTCATATTGTCATTAACTAATAAGGCACAATGTACATTTAGGGTGAGGTTCATCATTAATGATAGCAGATATCATCTTCATAATTTCAAATTTTTTGCCCAACTTTTTGTCAGATCTGATTAGATTGTTGATTTTACCTCATAAGGTGTCTGACGAGGAGCTTGTACTGGGGGTAGGAGATAAGTTGATGCACGTGGATTTTGAAGCAAAACCAAAATCTGTCATGGCATCTGTGTATCTGACATACCATAACACTTCAGTCTTCAGGGTCAGAGGCGATTTGAGCAAGATTGCAACTGCAGAGGGTCCTAAACCATTTGTGCCTTTCCCTGGTTAGAATTCCTTGTCTTTACTTGCCTCACGCTGTTGTACTTATTATGTTAATATTAATAATTATTATGTTAATATTAATAATGTTGTACTTATGTTAAATATTGTACGTATTATGTAAATATGGTATTTAGTAACATGACCCACGTGTGTGTTGTGGTTTAACCCGGCTGGCAACTAAGCACCATGCAGCCGCTCGCTCACTCCCCCCCTCCCTCTGTGGGATGGGGGAGAGAATCGTAGGAAAGGAAAAAAAAGTAAGACCCGTGGGTTGAGATAGAGACAGTTTAATAAGA